GAAATTCAACTTAACTCAATTTTTAACCAAAAACTTAATTTATAATCATAGATTTTCTAAAATGTATTTAAATTGAATAAAACTTTTAAATTAAATTACAAGCATGGATTAAAGATCAAAACCAAACAAACTCCTAATTTCCAAAGCTTTTCCTTTTTCTCTTCAAAAAATGAGATTGAATTAGTTCAAATTCTTCAAGATCTATGATGCATGTACAATTAGAGTATTAAAACTTACAAAATTTGTTCATGCATGTAGAAATGGATCTCAAATTCATGCAAGACTACAAAAATCAAATTTAACATAATTGATTCTCAATTTAACTTCCATAAATTCCAAAATCAACTCTCAGATTTCATGAACTCCTGATTTTTATAACTTTTTCTTCAAATTCATTTATATACACCATTGCATGATCCCATCTTCAAACATTTCTTGTTGCATGTAGTTTATAAAACTCAAGTCAAGGATAATTCTCAAAGTTGAACCCAAATTTCAACAATTTATATAATTGATCTTCAAATCTTCATTTTTAATCCCCTCAAAATCCACCTTGAATCAATTTTTCTCTAAATTAATCAAACAATACTAGAAAAAGGATGGAATTCCTTACCTCATGATGAATTTTTCCATAGTTTTTAGCTTGGATTTTGATATCCCACAAAACCCTCTTCTTTTTTCTTCTTCCTTTGGTTGAACTCTCTCTCTCTCTCCTTTCTCTTCTCTATGTGTTTGATTCTAATTTCCAGCACAACACCTATACAAACAAATCTAGTTTCTCTGCACACGCACACAGGTTTCTCTGCACACCCACAATTCTAAATTCTTCCTTAATTTGATTTGTGATTAAGATTGGCTTAATTAAATAACACATATTCTTTATAAATCTTAATTAACACATAATTAAATTAATCATAACTAATCATAAATCTCACGTAATTTAATTAGTCTAATTTAACTTCCTTTAGAGCCCAATTAATTATATTTAAATTTATCAGTTTGAATCAGATTTTTAATCAAACTCCAAAAAGGCTCCAAATGTTAAATTAAACTTTTTGCCAATATCAATTTTGATTTCCCAAATCATTTAGGCCTTCAATTTTTTATCAAACTTCAAATTTCCGCTAATAAATTACATATTCAAATTGGGCACCCCATAAATAAATTTAATTCGTAATAATCACAATTCTCAATCCTCATAATTTATTTAACTTAATTAACTCTAATTCGGACCTAATTAATCGAATACCAATTTTACTAAACTGAATCGAATATTTAATTAAACTCCCAAATGGGTCCATAATTAAAATTAAATTGACTCAATCTCTTAATTTCACTTCCTTAAGCCATTTGGACCCTTAATTTCTAATCCCAAAATAAATCTTCAATAAAATCGTATACGAATCGGGTTTCACAATTCTCATAAATTCTCAATTAAATTAGGATAACGACTAATTAAAATCTCAAATCTCCTTACTTAACCAAATATAAGTATTATACGTGGCGGGGTCGTCACAGGTCCATAAATTCAAATTTGAATTTTGTTTAGCTAAAAGTCTGCACGCTAAAATACTTTGTCCATAATGACATGCTCAGGTGAAATTACCAAAATACCCATGTATAAATAGTTGTTGCATTGGCTTGTTTTGCATAAACCCCCTTCTCTCTCTCTCTCTCTCTCTCTCTCTCTCTCTCTCTCTTCTCTCCTCATCTTCTCTCTAGATCCAATCAGAGAGTTGTTGACGTAGCAACGCCGTAGGAGAGACAATGCGTGGTGGGTGTCCAACAGATCATCCAGAACTCTCTCTTTCTTTCTTAAACCCTAGTTTTCTCTCTCTAAAAATGCTAGTTCCACAATGGAAGCTTTCGAATCAGAAGCACTTAGCGATGCCGACGGAGCAGAGGCCAAGCAGGCTTTGGGCTAAGGTTAGTGAGGCCTATGCCTAGGGCCCAGAAAATTAGGCCAAAAAAAAAGCCCCCAAATTTATTATCTTGTACTTTCAAAATGGACCAATTCTGTTTAATTAATTTATGCCATTTTAAAATTCCTCAAAAGTTCTATTTGGCCCATTGATAAAAGGCCCAGTTAAAAATATTTATAAGTGTTAATTGTTAGCTCAATTAAAAAAATAAAATATAAAATATATGTATATGTATTAGTCGTTAGCCTAATTTTTTGTGGCCTATTTTTTTTCTCTTTTTTTACGGCCCAATTGTGTGTTTTTTAGTATTTTTTAAATATTTTATGCAATTTTTATTTATTTATTTTATAGATACATCTAATTTAGACACACTTAAAAACTATAATATTTATGCTTTTTTTAATAAAAAAAAAGTTTCCAAATACAAAAAATATAAAAAAATATGAATTGCAAACTCAAATAATTATTTTTGAAAACTCTAAACCTAACAGGGTGATTTAATTTTTATTTTTTATGAATATCTAAAAGACCCCCGAAAAATTATTTCACCTTAGGCCCCGAAAACTCAAGGCCGACCTTGAGTAGAGGACGGCGAGAAGGAATGAGAGGTTAGTGTCGGACTCCGACTGCATTCGAGAGGTTGACAGTTACCGCCTCCAACGACTCTGTCGCCATATTCGCCTAGAAGAAGCGTGACCCTAGATCGACAGAGATGTAGTTGTGCTGCACCCTAGATCAACAAAGAGTTTAGAGATCTAGTCCCTAGACTCTAGATCCACCCTAAATCTAATCACGGCGGTCAGAGATCTGGTCAAGCATGGTGAAGATATGAACCGAAAACACCACCGCCATCACCTACTCCTACCATTAAAACACATACATACATACATATATATTTATATATCTGTGAGTGTGTGTGTGTGTGTGTGTGTGAGCCTTATATAGATAGGCATTATTTAATAATGAAGAAAGTCAAAAAAAAAAAAAAAAAACCTCGAATAGATTAATAAATAAATTTCTACCAATTGCACATTTTTTGATGTATGTAACATTTTGTTGTGTATTATATATCTCTAACAGTGAAAGAAGAAGTGCATCTGTAGGTGTTGCTTGTTTCTCTTCCTTCCATTTCTTTTTCTTTTGGTCTTTCTAGGGTTTTATTGAGTTTTTTCTTTTCATTTTGTGTTTTGCTTTTCATTGGTACTGATGAAGCACGTGGATTTTGTTGTCTTTGGTAGATCAAATCTGAAGTGTTGGTGGTGGAGAATTTCCAGATCTGATTTTTTTATATTTCAGTGTTAATGGTGGAGAATTTCCAAATCTGATTTTTTTATATTTCAGTGTTAATGGTGGAGAATTTTCAAATCTGATTTTTTTTCTTTGTTGTTGTTGTTGTTGTCGACGAACAAATCATCCTTCTACAGATTTGGTTTATTTTTCTTTGTTGTTGTTGTTGTTGAATAGATAGAACAAACAGATTTAATTTTTGATAGATAAAGAGAGAGACATATATAGTAGGTTCAACAGATAGATAAAAAAATTTAACAGATAAAAAAGAATTCGACAACAGATAGAGTTGGTTTGACAGATGGGAACAAAATTTGAACTGAAAAGATCAACAAAATTTAATAGATAGGGAAAAAAATTGAATAGATGAGAGAAAAAAATTGAACGGATAGGAGAATAAATTGAAGAGATAAGAGAAAAAATTAACCATATAAAAAGGATAAACTAACAATAGTTCTAATAGTTAGACTTAATTCCCATAAAGTCCTATTTTGAAAATAAGTCTTAGCAAAATTGTTGTTAAAAATGATTTTTTGTGATGATTTTTTTTCATATGTCGCCAAAAATTGATAATTAGAGACTTTTTTGTCATGATTTTTATAAATTGTCGCTAAATTTACAATTAGTGACATTTTTCTATAACAAAATTTTCAAACTGTTGCTGAAAGTTGAAAATTAGTGACTCTTTTTATAGCAATTTTTAAATTGTCGCTAAAACTTATAATTAGTGGCTTTTTTCTAACAAAATTATTAAACTATTGCTAAAAATTAATAATTAGTGACTTTTTTTAATAGTATTTGATAAAAACGCTATTAATTATCATAGGACCTATTGAACAGTAATTCTACCAATTAGGACATATACGTGAGTCATCCTAAAAAAAGTTAACAAATAGATTAAGGGATAAAATTGAAAACAAAATGTCTTCTAAAACAATACAATATATTTTTACCATAATATTTCAAAAAGAGTAGATTTCTCACCAAAGAGGGGGACCTAATACCTTATACCCTCTCTAAATTAGACTTTTTAACAATTTTCTCACTTGAAAAACATACTTAAAAAAAATGGTGATTTTAAACATTTTTTTAAAAAAGGGGTAATTGGTCAAAATCCACTCATAATAAAACTTTAATATATTAAGGACAAATATAAAAAGATTTTCTTAAAAAGTATAACACCACTAAAATTAAAATATCCCTAGTAACTAATTTAATATTGTAAACTTTAAAATGCTATAACTTTTGATCTAAATATCGGTTTTGAATAAACATTATTATTATTTTTTAATTCTCTTATCAAGATATATCAAATAAGATTTAGGTTAGTTATGAAATTTAAAAAAAAAACAAAAAAAAAAACTACCATCGTAATTGACGTAACAGTAAAATTTTACGCAGATTCATAGTAAATTTTATTGTTGATGTTAGTTTCAATAGGGGGAAAAAATTGCTATTTTTTTTAAAGAATTTCATAATTAACATGAATCTTATTTGATGTTGACGAAAAGATTCTAAAATAGCTAATTTTATTGAAAATAATGTATATCATTTTAAAGTTTGAAATATAAAAATAGTTAGATTGTCTATAAAAATAAAATAAAAAACAAATTTGTTTGTCCTTGATAAAAGAGAGGCTTTTTTTGACTTACAAATAAAAAAAGTTTGGATTTTCCTTGTCACTTTAAAGGACCAATAGAGGGATTTTGGCCAAATATAAAATTGAAAAAAAAAAAATTGATACCTAATTTGATTTTTATACTATTTTAAAACTAAAATGATGAACTTAATTTTAAAAATGAAATTTATTTCTTCTACCAAACGGAGCCTAACAACAAATTCGCTGCGTTCTGAATTCCGATAAGTCGTTGGGATTCGAATTTCAGTTACTAGTTTAGATCCCAAAAACCCTAACCCTAGCAGAAACCCTTTCTCCTCCTTCCTCTCTCGGTTTCAGCAGAAACTCTCCGACGTTCGGTTCTTCCTCGAAAACCCTAGCCCTCTTCGCCCCTAACCCGCGTGTTCTGCGATTTTGATATCGACGAGGTCGGAGGCTCCTTTGCCTTGTAAGTATTCACTGTTCCTATTGTTGAAGTTATGGCCAGTTTGGCTGTTGAGAAAACGTAGGAAAAGGAAGAATTTGAAAATGCTGACAATTTTGTTGGAACTCCATTCAAGTGGGCTAACAAAAAAATTATTGTGTTTTCGTTGCTGCGTGAATAGGGTTGTTTTGGGTATGACTTATATGCTAGTTTTTTTTGTTTATTAGAAAAAGATGTGCAAAAAAGTAGAGAGGTAATAATGACCCAAATAAGCCAATAAACAATGGTGTTGTCAAACCAAGCCTAAATGTGCTTGGTGGAGGTTTTATTTCTATGATAGAGACTCTTCAACATGTGTACTACTTTGTTCAAGCTCCGTTTGGTTGTTGAGTAAATGTAGGTAGGGGAAAAACCATAAATTTAAAGTATATTACAATGTTTTTATATATGTTGGCTTATTTTTCCTATGAAAGAAAATATCATAAATGCGAACGTGTCAGCAAGGATTGAAAAATCTATACAAATTAAATTCAAGCTAATTATCAAGCGATTGCGTTGACGGTTCTTTTGCCTCAATGAAGAGGACTTCAAAATTGCCAAGTGTAAAGAAAAGAAAAATTAAAAGAAGAAGGAGGGAGACGAAGAAAGATGATTGAGTGAACAATCGGAGTGATTGAGTGAACAATCAAACTAACAATTACTTACCTCTACTCCTATGCTTCGAAAAGGAAGTGCGTAAAATAAAATGCAGAAAATATAAATGACAAGAAAAATATAAATCAATATTCTTTGATTTGAGTTTCATCCTTTACAATGTAGCCATGAATGTCTATTTATAGGAAAACATTTGTAGAAAAAAACTACTTAAAATTACCAACTCTTCCACCTCCTCCATTTCATATTCCATAATCGTCCATAACTTCCTTCAACCTCCACTTCTTGCTCTATGTTCTCTACTTTGTTCTCCATCATCTTTCCACATTTCATAACTTCTCATAACCTCCAAATGAGTAGGAGGGTGCCACATGTCCTGCAATTATATAAATAAAAAATAATAAAATTGTAGATTTATGGTGCCAACAATATCGAATTTTTATTTTTGAACACAAAGAATCAAGTAAACGTTGGCATGTGATTTTTTTTTTTGGTTTATAAGGCCATCTCCAACCTTTACTCAAAATTTTATTCAAATTTGACTGAAATATGAACCATTCCTGTAATACCCTTGTTCCGTAGTATGCCAATTGGTCCTTAAATTGAGTATGATTACGTGTTTACTATGATTTTATGTGCCATTATGTGAATATATGTGATTTTGAAATTTTATCTGTTCACCGTAGGAATATCTGTTTGAATAATCAGCTTTGGAAATATAATTGAGGGCCTTATCGGCCACAGAACCCGAAATTGATTACGCCATTGTGATTGGCATAATTTTTAGAGCCTACGGTGAAATTTAATCGAAAAATTGATTCGAGCCAGATTAAATTGAATTATTTAATGGCATTGTGCTCAAATTGTTTAATATCTTAAATGTGGCTAGTGGGGCTTCTTGTATTTGAGCACTACACTTCTCATTCTCTCATATACCTTCATTTTTGGCTGAACAAACTCTAAGAAATGGAGGAGGTCGGCTGTTAGAGAGAGAGTGAGGGAGAAAGTTGTGTAATTTTTGGCCCAAGGTTATGAATTTGAAGTCCAACTCAAGAACTGACCATGGATTGAGCTTCTAGGTAAGTGATTGTTTATGAATTCATGAGTTCGAACTTGTGATTTTGTGAATTAAAGGTTAATTGGTGATCAAGAACAAGAGTTGTACTCTACTTGATGAATTTGAAGTTAAAATGCACATGCATGTATAGGATCACCATGTTTTTGCATAATCAAGCATGTATTGGGATGAATATGGAAATATGAGTGTTAAATCCTACATGCAAGCATGTTTTTGTTGTGTTCCATGAGAATGAACACCATTTGCATTGATGGAGTTAAGAATTGACATGCATGCACAAATTGAGAAGATATAAGCTTGAATGCATGAATTTGTTATGTTAATGATTGAGTTTGATACATTTTGGGACATGCATGTAGATAAATTATGAAATTGAGCTTCAATATGTTGTAATCCTATGTTTGTACCATGATAGTATATAATTTTGTGAAGTTTGGACCGAAATCATGCATTTAGAGCCTTTGAATGTCAAGATGAAGCTCACGAACTCAATCTGGAAAACCCAGATTTTCGATGTCCGCTCGAGCGGGTGAAGTTACGCTCGAGCGAAGAAATCGAGCTCCCAGCATTTCCTGCAGACATGGTTTCCGCTCGAGCGGGAAAGTTGACGCTCGAGCGTGGGAGCTATTTTGACGGGCCTTCCGCTCGAGCGACCTATTTAACGCTCGAGCGTAATTTTCAGGCAACCAGTACTTTTGCAGGCCGATAGTGTCCGCTCGAGCGGGGAAGTCCACGCTCGGCGGGGACCCTGTTTCCTGGAATTTTGTTCATGCATTCTGTGATTCGTTTTCCGTTCCCTTTCACTTGTAAGCACTCTTAGGCATATGTTAAGCATTGTAAATGAGTTGATAAGATAAGAATAAAGCCTAAAGAGGAATATGTGAATTAAAGAACGGATTGAACTGTTAGTGACCCTTTTGTATTCATGAAATGTGTAGGGTCAAGCTCCAGGGCGCACCCACAAGCCGATCACTGTGAGTAATATCAACATTCGAAAGCTCGTCAATGTCTAATTGTTTATTCCCTTATAAACCTTATGAGTTGTTAATTGGGATTGTGGCTAAAAGCCGTTTTGATATGAATGAATAGGCTAAAAGCCGTTTTGATGTAAATGAATGGACCAAAGGTCGTTTTAACATGAATGAGTGGGCCGAAGGCCGTTTTGACATGAAAGAGTGGGCCAAAGGCCGTTTTGACATGAATGAATGGGCCGAAGGCCGTTTCGATATAAGTGAATGGGCCTAAGACCGTTTTGCCATGAATGGAAACCCGAATGGGCCAAAGGCCAGAATGTTTAGAGTTACTTGATTTGCATTTCGTATAGTCATATATCTTTGTTAAATAGAAGTATAAATTGGGCCCAAGGCCGTTTGGAGCATGTTGTTCTATAAATTGTTATGTAACTGTCATGTTTGATATTATTCACTGGGCTATCGCTCACGCTCATCCATGTGTTTGTAGGTGAGCCAAGGGAAGTCCAAACCCAGCCCCAGTGAAGTCTGCTAGGAAAATCCGAGTTTTGAGGAAGTCAGCCTTGTGTCTCACTCTTGAGACCTACCTTGCCTTTTTGCTATGTACTTATGTTTTGTCTTGTTGGCAAGGGTATTGTGTATATCTGTAAATAGTCTGTTATAGGATGGCTCGTCTTGAATGATCCTGTCTGTAATGAATTTTGTGAAACTGTATATTTGATGTGGGTTATTAACGTATCTGAACATGGTTTGTTTGATGTGCATATAAGCACGGCTCTATGGACAAAGTTTTAATTATTGCTTCCGTTTGGCCCCTTTACTCTGACAAACTATGTCTGTTTTGGTCTGAGGCCGTAGGTAATCTCAGGATTACTGGCCGGTTATGTCATCATGTTCTGTTTTGAGGCCGTAGGTGATCTCAGGATTACTGGCCGGTTATGTCCTTAACCCATAGGGGCGGGTTCGGGTCATGACAATTCCAATATACAAACTCAAGCTTATGCATAAGTTTGAGTAAAAAATTTACTAATGGCAAAGCGGTAAATTTGAGAGTCACATAATAGCATTGAAAATTTGAGTAAACATTTGAGTTTCCCTTGATTTGGGTAAAAATCTGAATAAAACTCAATTTGGTATAAGATTTGGTCTAGGCATGGAGGGTGTTTTGATTAGTTTTTACCCAAAATTTAAGTTTGATATATGTTTGAGTCAAGGATTGGAGATGCCCTTAATATAGGTTTGAGTCAAGGATTGGAGATGCCCTTAGTTCTATTGGAAGTTAAGTGAATGATTATTACATTACTTTTCGGTTTTCAATCTATTTGTGTTTTCAAATTTGCACTTTGAATGTTAGTGGTAATGCAATTAATCACCTGGTGGGTACTGATCATTTGAAGAATTTATTTACTTTTTTATGGTAGTACAGTGGTAATATGGATCAAGTCGATTCCTTTAGGATTTCCGAGGTGGATCTAACTAAGGTATCTATTTTTAAATATTGTGTCATCCTTGGCTTTTGAAATTAATTTTGATTTGTGGTTAGATATTTGTTTGATTTTCTACATGTATATAACATCCAGTGAATGTGTTGTACTCAAATGGCTAATCAAAGAAATGAATGTGTTGAACTAGATGTGTTTTATAAATTACAAGATAAGAATTTCCAAGAAGAATAGCAAGCGTGGATTTCAAAATGAGCTACTGATCTTATAACTTATTCAGTAGACTGGTTTTTGAGATAGCATTGAGTTGATGTCTCATTTCATTTGGCTTTAGTTTGCACCATCTTGCTGTCTACTTTATGTATGCTGGGAAACTTGCTGATTTTTGATGTAAAGAAACTGCATTTATGCCATTTAAAACCAAAAGCATATATAATGTGTTCGACTAAGCAGTCATCCTTTGAACATGATGCATGTGACATTCTTAACTTGGTTTCTCTGCACTTCCTTTAACGCTATGTTTGGTTGGGGGATTTGGAAAGAGATTTGGAAAGGAAAAGGGAAAAGGTGTGTGAAACAAGGTGAAACATAGGCATGTTTTATTCACATTTCACATACCTTTTCTATTTCTCTTTCCAAATCTCTCCTCAAATCTCTCAACCAAACACAACATAACAAAATTTTCCTTTCTCCTAGAAATAGTTATTAAGCATAAAAAATCCATGTCGTTATTGCAAAGCTCCTCACCCACCTCAAACCCCCAATGTGTTATATAAATTTGTAACATATTGTTTTCTTGTATTTAAATTTTTTCCATGATGAGATAAGACCCCTGTTTGATATTAAAATTTCATTTCACTATTGCAAATTTCTTCTTCTACCACAAACCCCCAAATTGTTATATAAATCCCAATTTGCATCATATATAATTTTCATGTATTAATTTTTTCTCATGACAAGATGGGTCAATTTGATAATGATAATGCAATGGTACTTCTATTTTCATAGTCTTACACTCTTATCTTGGTTTATTGTTTTCGATATGTTTGGTTAATTAGTATAGAATGCTTGAAAAATATGTCCACTTTTTTCCATTAAACTATATATGTAGCTTCATGGCAGTACTCACCAGTTCTGTTTTCTTTTTGTTTCAGTGGGAGAAAAAGTGCAAACCACTTGAAGATGAAACTGCTAGCGAACTATTTAATTGGATCGTCAAATGATATCCACAATCAACTGTACTCTGAACGTATATATAGTTTTGACAATCAATCAAGTTTTTCAAATGGTGTTATGCCTCTGCAAAATTATACAAATGAGAGCTATCAGGTTTCCCATTCAGAACTATCTGAAGTCTCTGAGGTTGGCCCTTGTCTACATTATTCGAATTCACATTCGCTTGCGGGCACACAATTTGATACAAATTCATGGGGTTTGAAGGATTTAGCAAGTGTCCATAATCTGAATACTTATATGCTTTATTATGATTATAATCTTCTTTTAAAACTGTAATGGAGGTTCCCATGGAATTGAGAATGCCCAATGTAATTGCTTTGCGCTTTTATTGATATCAGGTTACATGGATAACCGGCAGTCTCTTGTTTGTAATGATGGGAAATGCTCTGCTGATGGCTATCTCTCTAACAGAAGGGTAAGTTTGCTCATCAGCATAATCACTGTAATCATTTTCTGATTGAGATTTTGTATCTCTCAGTAAGCTTTTATTTTGGAAACCTTTTGCATTGTGGGTTAAGCTTTTAATGCCAGGCTAGGATTTAAGGTTTGATTATACCCAAATATGGCAAGATATTTAAGTCTTAGAAAAGGATATGAACCTTGGAAAATAAATTCAAAAGCTTGTAACTTAGTTTGGTTGGATAGAAAGAGAGGAGAAGAGAAGGGAAAACAAAAGAAGAGAAAACAAGAGGTAAGAACTTAACTTGTTTCCTCTTGTTTGTTGGAGAAGAGAACGTGGAGAGAAAGCTAAGGGAGTAGATACCTAAATTTTGCTCTAGGTGATTGTAGCTTGTGTTCTGTTTGTTTAACCCAACAATTTCCTACCGAATCTCTACTCATTTGTGATGTGCTTGGGAGGATGCTTCACTTTGACCAGTCTTACACTCCGTTTGGATGGAGGGGTTTGGTGAGAAAAGAAAAGAAATGGTGATAATACGAAACCCCTTTACTTGTTTGGATGGTTAGGTAGGTGAGAAATGATGAGAGATGGTGAGAAAGGAATTGGGTGAAAATTTTCTAAAATATCAAAATTACCCTTATGAAAAAAAATAGCTTATTAATATGGATGGAAGGCTATTTTAGTAAAGTGAAATAAAACATTTTCCTTTCTATTCTCTTATTTACACTATCCAAACAAGATAGGTGAGAAACCACATTCTCTTCTATTTTATTCATCCAAACATAATGGTGAGAAACTATAATCTTTTCTTTTCTTTTTTTTTCTCACCTAGGTGAGAAACTACAATCATTTCTTTTCTCACCTTACCTCACGTCACGTCACGATCCAAACAGATTGTTAGAAAAGAAAGAAGGCCTCAACGTGCAGTCAACTTGAGGTCATGATTAAGGCGTATGTGCTCAAGGGTTTCTCGTACTTGATGAACACAGTTACATATCATTAGAATATTCCTCCAGTTTGTCAGGCGACATGCATTGGATCCTCTAGTGCCCGACCTACCTATAAAAGAAGAGATATTTTTCCTCCAGAGAGATCGTCATCGTATCATCATTCTATCACTGAGCCAACTCTATAACAAAGCTCATCCCCTCCAGCATGCTCAAAGACTTCTCCATTCCCCTCTCTCTCTGTCTCTCCTTGAAGGTTGCTTCAATTCTCTCACTCTTCACGTCCAGAGATGTGCCTACCATAATTCTAGGAGAGCCCATGGTGTGCTCACTTACAACGACCACCGCCAGCAACAAGGAGGTCTGATCTTTTAGTAGTTTTTTCACCCATCTCTTTCTTGATCATTCTTGACAAAGACTTGTTTGTTGCACAATTAACATGAATGCTGGATGGTCCAACATAATGTGACTGTAGTTAGTCATGCTGTATTGACTCTGTGTAAGTGTTATTGCTATCACTTATTGGGAGTTTTATATTCATGTTATATCAAAGATTCAGAATAACTAAACAAATTGCTAAAAGTTGGCAACTCATGTTGGCATTTTGATATCCTGTCAACAATTAAGTTGTGTTTTCACATTCTTGGTTTGTCTTGTCTGATTAAAAATTTCATCATGGATTTTGACCTGGAGTTTTTAAAAGTCCTCATATAAATGTCTTGTTGAACTATTGGCAAATGATTATGTTGTTATTGTTTAGATGTACCAGGCATATCCTGATAAAAGAATTGTTAATGGAGAGAGCAGTTTTCAAGGTATACATCTTTAACCAGTTCATTTTAACTTGATCTTTCTTGGAAGCTGAATATATTACTCGTCCCACTTCTGTTTTTGGGGGCAGAATTATGGACATTATGTGCCGATAAAGCTCACATAGGTTTCTTGGTACCTTAGTGATGAAGGAGATAAATTTGGTGATATTTCTTTTCGCATCTGTGCGCCTTTTTCCCCACCTTCAGGTTTGCATGACCTGATTCAAATTTCTTCCTAAGTTCAAGAAGAGGCTGAAGAAAATGTGCATGTGGGGGCACCTCCTCCCTGGTTTGATGCAACTGAAGAAAATCCACTTAATGTTAGACCAAAATCAAGATTAGGAACAAATAACCTTGCTTCTTCTTGCAATAAGGAAGTTCCAATTGAATCCAAAATGGGCGGGAGCTGCTTGGGAAGGGAAGAGAAAGATAGAGATGGAGAGGAAAGAAGAGATTGTCACCAATAATTTTGATGTTAACTGGCTACCAAATTTTGATAGAGTTGGCAATCTGGTAGCCTAAAGGAATCTAGAAAAGAATTTAAGGTAGAGAACAAAAACTCTCCAAGGGTTGAACTTCAGTCAGAGACATCAATCAAGATACAGCCTTACATCAGCAAACAGATGGTAAGCCTTGCATTTGTTTGTATGCAGTTGAATGTCTTCAAATTTCTACATTATTTTTTGGTTCTGAGGTTAGATAAAGGAAATTCATTATTTTACATGCATGTGCTTCTAAATGTACTCCTAGTTATATTGTGTTACATGTGGTTGTTATATAAGTGAAACTTAAATATTCCCTCAGGATGTGGTAACACTGTACCAGGAGTGTTTATGTTCTTTCCTACATTTTAATATGTTCATAATCACCTCCTCCCATTGATAGGTGCATGTATGGCAGTTGGTCAACTTGTTAGCATCAGTTCATGTGCCCTATAAAAGCCTCTTCCTTTGCCAAATGGGTAATGAGGGAGTAGCTACCATGTTATATATTTCATTTTATCAATTTGTTTCCTTTGCAACCTGAATTTTGTGAAACTGAGTTCCTAAGATTAATATTTATTCTCTTAATGCAGTGAACAGATGCAAGTAAATGATACCTTTGGTGGTGATCATGTCAAGAGAATCACCGATGGCCTCGATTTCGAACCTCTGGACCTAAAGTACTGGTTTATTTTGAATTCAAGATTAGATGGGGCCATAATTTTGTTTGTCATGAGGGGCAAGATCATGGATGGATTCAGCCTAAAACTCAGCAGTTAATTAGTTCACAGATCATCGTGCAATAGAAGCACATCAACTCAGCTGTCTATACCATAATGACGAGTCGAACTAGGGCTTCATTTTTGTCTAACTGAATGTTAGTCATTATGAATCTTTGTTGTACATAAATCAACAAAATCACAGTAGGTAAACCATTTTTTATGCATCAAATTAGAGTTTGTAATAAAAACAAGTTCTATTGTTTGCACAAAGGATTTGATATAGAGTAACATGTAGAAAATGGAAAATTAATATACTTGCATTAGCTGAAACAGAACCTTTCTAGCTGCAGTACATTTTATCACAGAACAAGTTTTTGTTTCGACATATTCAATAATTAATTGCAATCCAAAACTAACCTGTTAGCTCTAACCTGATCAGGTCTCTGAGACTTTTTTTTTTTTTTTCATGATATCCTTCTGCTGCTTCAGCCGTCTACAGATAAAATTGTTTGCACTGTCTTTTGAATACATTATAGCTAGATAGGTGAAAGTGAAATGTTCCCAGAGGGTTCTGGATAACGGTTAGTGTTGTATTTGGCTTGTCATTTTCAAATGTTGAAGCAAGATACCTTTGTATGAGCTCCTGATCTGCACATGACTCTTGACCCCTGAAAATAATGGAAACCTGTCATTTGAAGATACTTCACATCCATTTTCTGACCTTGCTGTCTTGCTTCAGCTGATGGCATATCTGCCTGTAATAAAGGGCAGCAACCAAATGCTTGGATGTATTGGACCTCGAAAAGCATGCTGTTCTGCTGGTGCACACAAAACAGTCATTGCATCCAGGTATGTATCATTTTTATGCCTATGTTTTCTGGTAAAGAATGTTCATCAATATGCAATCATCAAAGAAAGAATGCTGTTACTCTATTAAAATTGTTTTGGCAGGGCAAAATGTTGTAGAATTTGATTTGCCTATTATCCTAAAATTCCACAGTTTTCCTTTGGAAGAAACCAAGTTCTCATCACACAAAAACTCCCAAGCAAACCATTTCTCAATCATCCGATCTACATCATGGACTACCACATCTGTTATATTCCCAGATCTTGCTATCAGACTAGCCGTGTAAATGGTAGCCATCCTTCCTGGTGCATCTGGTGCATCACCCCTCGGCCCATCCACCACAACCATGTCCCACTTACGCTTGTACACTTCCCTTGGTAACCTTGTCAAAGCTAGAGGGCAACTTGAATTTTTGAGTGAACCTGACCTTGAGTGCTGCAATCCACAAGCAGGGTTTCGCCTTGCATACTTGAGCAGCTTGTAAGCATCTTTGGCAACTGTCTGGTACTCAACTTTGTAAATCCGGGTATTACTGTAATTGGCTTCGATTTTGTTCAGCTTTTCTGAATTGTCCTCCAGAAAGACAGTTTTGCCACCTGCATTGATTCTTGAGAGGTTAAGGTATTTCTGCTCAAGCCCAAAAATAAGGAGGTTGCAAGGGGCTCTAAGGGAAATCAGATTCGACAAAAGGCGAAATTCCTTCTCAGTGAGGGTGGCAGCGCTGTCAGAGGAAATAGATCGACTCTTTGATGGGCCTTGTGTGTGTGGATGAGTTGGAGGCAAAGCAACAGCAGGAGGAGAAGAAAACAAAGAAACAGTAGAAATCTTAAGAAGCCTGAGGATGGAGAAGCCTGAAAGTGTGAAAACAAGAATTGGAATGAGTTTCTTCTTGGTGATCATCATCATCCTCTTTGTTCCTCGGTAGTATTTGTACTTCGGAGGCTGATTGGCTAGTAGCGATCTGGGTGGCTCTCGAGGAAGGAATTGAATTATGGGTGTGACAATAGGTGTAGGATGGCATGGACATACCTCTGGGGGCATTTTACTCTTCCTTCCATCATCATCATCTCAGCTGCCATCACATCCTCATTATAGGGTGGTAGTGGTGGTGGGGCTTTTGAGTTTTTCTGGGTTGTTTATTTTTATGGGCTGAGGAACTTTCTTGAGTGAGGAAGAAGAGATGGTGTTTTGCTTTTGTTTCAAGTGTTACTCTAATCTTTTATGGAGTTGTCAGCCTGTCAGTCAACTAATCATTTTCTGAGAATGCTGGCTTTGGCGGGTGTTGGCACTCTTTAAGAGGTTGGTTACCCTTTTTCTTGTATTGATTTGGTTAACGTTTGGTGGATTTGATGAGTAAAGGTGAAGAAGGCTAATGAGTAGTTGCCAAGCTGCTTTCAAGTAGACTCTTCCTAGTCTGACGTGATATTACAGCAGTGGCTTTGGAATTGACTTAAAATAATCAGCAAATTTTCGCATGCTAAATATTTTTTTAGTTGGCTAGGAAGAGTGCTTCTGTTGTTTATTAGGTTAATTACACCAAGACTCTCTCAACTATCAGCGAATATTATTTTATGCCCTATATTTTGATCCCCTCAGTTATAAAAATGTAGCACTTTCAGCATTCCAGACCCCCTCCAAACCACCTCCAAAAGGGATGTATTTGTACGATTTTCATAGTTAAGGAGATCAATATATCAAAAGGGTAAAGTGATATTCATTAATAGTTGAAAGGGTTTTGGTGTAATTAACACTTCTTAATTTTTGGAATTGTTTACCTAATCTTTCTGAAAGTTTCTATCCCTTTTTGTTGTGTTTTTCGTTTTCTATCTTTAGAAAAACAAAACAATAATTTTTTTTGAAAAGACTCAAATTTCTCATTTGTGTGAAAATAAATTTTAAAATTTGAAAACAAGTTTTGCTGTTTTCTAAAGTTGCTTATTTACGGATGAAAAAAAAAAATTTGAAAATTGTTTTTGGAAACAGTTTGTTAACAAATTTATGATTTTTGGAAATGAAAACAAAACTAAATGGATTAAAATTTCTAAAATTTCTTTTGCACAAAGATGAAAATGATAAGTACTTTCAAACTCACTATTTTGTTTCCAAAAAACACAGAAAAACAAAAACAAAAAATCTGAAATCACAATTAAATAGGCTTTTAGGATCATATCTGAACTACTTCAATGAAAATCCCACCGCAACCTTGCTACTCTTTTGAACTTTTTTTTTTTAACCCTTTATTATAAATTAAAAAAAAACAAAATAATAATAATAATAAAATAAAATTATAAATAAAAGATAAAAGGGAAAATCCTTGATAAATCCATATTCCCATCCGTCTAAGTCATTAAGGAAAAGGTTTGTTTTGTTGGGGATATAAGGACATTTGTTAGTCAAAAGACCGTCAACATATCTTTTAAAATTTTTATTTTAACCTATTTGTTCAATTTTATTTATTTTTATCTATTCCATTACTGAACCTATCTATTCAAATTTTTATCTGTCTGTCAAAATTATTTTAATAATTTTAAACTATCTATTGAACCTATCTGTTAATGAATAAGTGATATTCATTATTTTAATAACAGATAGAACTTATCTTTTCAAATTTTTATTTTATTTGTTGCATTTTTTGAACCTATCTATTCAAATTATTTTAATTTTTCTATTAATTTTTTTATTCTATCTGTTCAAATTCATATGTCATCCACTTCCATCCCAACCATGCCTTCACCCCCCCTTCCAAGACCACTACTGCAACCGCCACCCAACCCCAATAACCATGATAGTATTATTGCTCTAATGCCATCACCATACATCACCCAATTCCATTATCAAATGCGGTACACCACTCAACTTCAATCTCATAGCCTTACACCACACAGCTCCAATACGAATCTCAATCATAGCCCATTGTCCATAAAACCCATCACAAACCCATCAACAACCACTAAGGTATTTCCTCAAACACCTTATGCACAAGAGAGAGAGAGAGAGAGAGAGAGAGAGAGAGAAATATGTAGTATCACTTACCCAACCATAGCAACCCCAATTCACCACATTTGTGCATAATGCTACCCATAAATCAAACATGAATCCATGATCTTCGTGATGGTAGTTCAATTGCTCAAATTCAGATCTAACAATTTGGTTATCAATTTTCGAAAGTCCTTTTTTTTAATCAAATTTAGGGGCAACTATTTAGGGTGGTAGTGGAGCTCTTTGGGTCGACAATGGCGATAGATAAGGGTAGATAGAGAGAAAATGAGGTGTTGCGATGGAAGATGGGATGACAGTAGTGGCGCATAATCTCTTTTGCACAGACCTGACTAGCCTCAACATCTCTCAATCTATCATCATCGTTGGCAAGAACACCAGCTACTGTTATACTGTGTTTGGTCGAAAGATTTAGGAACGGATTTAGAAAGGGAAATAAAAAAAAGTGTGAAATTAGGTAAAATGTATGTATATTTTATTCACATTTTACATACATTTTCCTTATCTAAATCCCTTCTCAAATCCCCCAACCAAACACAGCGTTAAAGATCCATCCCATTCAGCTATCCATTTGAGAGGCCATTGCAACCTATAAATAAACACCCTTGAAGGCGATTAGTGCATCTGGGGAAAAAAAAAAAGTAGAAAGGAGAAACAAAAGATGAGAGATAAGAGAATGAGTGTGAGAAACAATTTGTACAGATAATGCATTGTCCTTATGGATTAAGCAAATTATGTGTTTGTTCTTATGGACCCAAACAAAATAGTCCTTGGATCTATGCCCTTAGAAGTCTGTAAAATGGCTTGAGCATGGGAGCCTCTATTTACACACCATCTTTCATCTTAAGGCATACCATTAATTAGTTTATTTTTTATTACAATATTAACCTAATGTAAAATGATCACAAAGGACAAAGGGCAATAATGAATACAATACACACCTCTCTTCTGAACTGTTACTTACGTATCTTCTCTCTCAAGAACCCAAGAACCCTGAAACAAAAACTAAAAACCCTTAAAGAAGCAACCAAAAATATATGTATTATTGAAGATTTTGATTGGACTGAATGATGAATTTGTTAATGCACGACGTCATCTCTTTGAGGCAGTGAGTGGAATACGTGAAAGGTCATCCATATCTGAAAATGAAATAGAAAACAATAAAGGATAAGTCCGTTCAAAAGTTCATAACCGGACAATTTCATTTTGTTCAACACTCTAATATCAAACAAAATGCTTCTGTTCAACAGACTAACTCCGAACAATTTAATTATGTTCGACAATAAAATGTCGAACAATTTCATTATGTTTGACATGAACACTCCAGACAAAAGGTCAAAGTTCGAAAGACTAGTGTCGAACTGTTCACAAAATTACATTTTCAAATACAATGCTGATGGCAATGGAAAAATGTACATAAAATCCTAAAATCTAAGCCAAATAAGAATTCTCACCTACTGTATCTCCAATGTGGAGTTGTTTTCAACTGTGATGATAACAACGATCACCACCGGCGTCTTTGATGAAACAGATAATGGAGGGGGTCATGAACTAGAGAAGAATGGAGTGAAGTCATCTTCAGCACGAATGGAGACCGGAAATAGTCCAAACCTGTGTGATGACAATGAAACAGATAATTGGGGGGGACGTTGTGTGTTTTTGAAGCGGAGGTGTGTACTATAGGAAATATGGAAGATTGAAGATTGAAGATTGAAGATTGTGAGTGGGGTGTATGAGTAAGGGTAAAGATGGAAAATTGTGATGTGTATTGAAGAAATTTCTTATTTATCAAATTACTAAAGGTGTGCTTTGTGTAATGGTATGCCTTGAGATGAAAGGTGGTGTGTAAATAGAATCACCCATTGAGCACCAATAATAAAAATAAAAATAAAAGGTGAGGGGGCAAATTACATTTTACACCCTTAAACTATTGTCTATATCACTTTACCCTATTGGACCAAAAATTATAACACTTCCCCTTCATTTGTTAATTCTTTTCAATTTAGACTTTAACGACGAAAGTATCCTTTTAATTATAGGAGTAAATTACACTTTACACCTTTAAACTATCACTCAATATCACTCTACCCCCTCAACTCAAAAAAATATTTGATTTTTAATTTGAAATACAAATTTTATGTTTTTTTTTTAAGTGTATTTATATTAGGTGTATTTAAAAATTAAAAAATTGTTTAAAATATTAAAAAATTCAGTAAAAAAAAACACAAAAAATAAAAAATTTTAATTTTTTGAAATCTAAATCCTGAAAAACTAAACCAAACAAGCTGAATAATTTTTCAAATCGAAGGAGAAATTGTAATCAAGAGTTGTATTGCTAATTTACTCAAAAATTATCAAAAATGTTAAAAGGCCCAAATAAATTACCTAACAAATGCAGAAGATTTGATTGTGCAGATCTCACTCCTTCCGAACCTATGGCTTGGGCCTTGATACTCGGTTCCCTAAAGCCCAATGGTCAAGCAAGTAAGATTCAAGAATAGCCCTTTTTTTTGGGAGGGCTATTGTCTTGTATCACTAATCCTCCTCATTTACTAATTTTTTCAATTTAAAACTAAAAACCCTTTCATCAATTGGATAAATTACATTTTACCCGCTTGACTATCACCTCATAATTACTTTCAATTTACACTTTTTTTTTATTATTTTTGTTCATTTTGTCAATAAATTAATTTTTAGTTTGCTAGAAAAAAATATAAATTTAATAACCAAACAACAAAAATATTTATGAAAAAATCTAAAAAATGTTCACAAAGGACAAGAAATATAAAAATATACCAGTTTTTTGTTTTATGTTTTTTTTTTTATCTTTAGTTTTTTTTTAAATGCACAAATATTTAAATATTAGGTATATCCAAAAATTAAATTTTTTGACTAAAATATGGAGAAAAAAACTAAAATACAAAAATACAAAAAAATATTAAAAAGTATAATATTTGAAAACAAATCTTTAAAAAATTCACTAAATACCAGAAATACAAAAAAAAAATGAAAATAAAAATTCAGTACATTTTCGTATTCGTGCA